TTTGATTCAGCATCGTAACAGATCTACACACACACACACACACACACACACACACACACACACACACACACACACACACACACACACACACACACACACACACACACACCCCAGAGAATTACATAACCGGAGAGCAGTCATCAATCACAAATACACTTTCTTATGTCTCCACCTTCAGTGTTCTTTATTGCTAAAAGGACTACAATAAAAACTACCATGACCCTCTGCTTGCTTTGAGCATATTTGCACATTAATATTTGCACATGTGTCATTTGAATATTTTTTTTGGGAGAAATGCTAAGTGCTCTGAGGTTTGAGGAAAGTTATACAAAGATGAATTACTGTCGTGTTGTATCTGTACCCGTCTAATACAGTATATGATTTAAGATTAAAACTGTGATATCAAGGTTAAAATGCTGCATTTTGGCTTCTATTAGTATGACAAGTATGACAACATCCACATCAGATCAATAAGTAGGGGAGCTACTTTAAAATACATTTTAAAAGTGCTCAAAAGTGCACTTTTTTTGGACTGTAAGTTTCTTGGTGCAGCTGTACAATAAACAGTTGATTCATATGTCTCTTTACATGCACGTTACAGAAACCTTCCTGCTGATAGTCGAGGTGTGAAATACATCTATCTCTGAACATATTGAGCAGCAGAATGCCCCAGTGTGAACACATGTTGAGAAAAGCAGCTGCACACTGGAGATTATCCAAAGGCAAACCGTAAAGCCTATTCATGACTGCTTAAGTAACGCACACACAAGTTTAGCAGCTCACGGTAAATTATACAAACCATACGTCCTCCAACATCCCCTCCAGAATCAAACCACTATTAAAGAGAAGCAAAGGGGGTGAGATGTGAGTCGTTAGAGTCCATGCAGGGGGGTTAGTAACGCGTGAAGAGCTGCAGCAGGACGCAGTGTTGTGGAGTGGACATACCATGCTGACAGCACGGTCCAGGAGAGGAGTAGAGTTTCCAGAAGTCCTGGTGCTCCTTTCTCTGAACGTCACCTCTCTGGGAACACTTCTTTTAAATCTCCTCCTCCTCCTCCTTTCTCTTGATTTTTAAAAGTGATAAAAGAAATTCGTATTTCTTTGAGTTTTGAAAACCTGTGGCCACGTTTTTTGGAGTTGGAACAAAACTGTGTCGTCGGTCGCCCACCCGAGAAGACACGGAGGAGAAGTTGGTGCAGCTGGAGCCAATGAGAGGGCGCAGGGGGCTGAACGGGGCCGGACAACACACACACACACACACACACACGCACGCACACACACGCACACACACACACACACACGACACACACACGCACGCACGCACGCACGCACACACACACACACACACACACACACACACGCACGCACGCACGCACGCACACACACACACACACACACACACACACACACACACACACACACACACGTTGGCAACTAAAAGCATAAACAAAAAGTGCTTCTGTGGCAGGAGGGCTTTTATAAACGGATGATTACGTTCGTGCAATATTTTGATACAGGCAATCAGCACATGACTGGGCTGACGGTTTTCTTCTATAAGAGAAAAAGACACAGCAGTGGGGTTTAATATGTGAAAGCATCTCTTTTAGGTATACTCAGTGTAACACAGAGACAATTTCATAAAGTTCTATATGACCATAGTCTACAGCGAGCAGGTCGTTAACTAAGCGTTTACACTGATAATTACTGCTTATTGATAGTAAGTTTGAAAGATGTTCAAAAGAGCAATATGTAACTCTGACACCTGGTGTTCAAAATGGGTACTGCAGTCTAAATACTAAACATTGCAGAGAGCTGTTAAGGCACCCCACACACGACCGTTTTGGACGCCCCTCGGTTTGCCAGATATGAGAACAGTTATCAGGTCAAATCTACACACACTCTACCACAGCTCTCCACAATGTTTAGAATTTAGACTGCAGTACCCATTTTAAACACTAGGTGTCTTATTGCGCCTTTCAACATGAATTATAATCATAATATGTTGTTGCTTTGTTTGGCACTTATAAGGTATAAGGTAGACGTAAGCAAAAGCATATTAAAATTGACTTACAGTTTGTGTGCTGAAAAATAATTTAGACAAAATAGTTTTTTTGAACCCGGCTGTAAACATGTTTAACACTTTTTTAACAGCCGAGGTTGCTTCTTGTGGTCTTCTGTCTTCCTGGTAGGTGGATGGTCTATCTGAGCATCTGTTTCTGAGAACTGTAGCAACCGTGCAAAGTCTCACCTACATTTTATGAGCAGACTAAAACATGAAGTTTGTGTGTAAAATCTCAATCTGCAGAGTCCAACAAGTGGAGTAAAAGAGAAGCTCTGTGTGAAGTCAGCACCATGTTGTGATATTTCTCATTGCACAGTCAACTCTTTCATTCATGTCAAAAAAACAGATGTTAAAAAATGACATTCTGGACAGTGGAGGAATCATCTGAACAAAGAGAGAGAGAGGAAAGATATGAGAATGAAAGTTATTCGCTGCTGAACAGCAGTAAACGATGCAGGGATTTAAACATCTGACATGCATCAACTGCGAGTCACAAAAGCTGCATTGGTGCACAAAGCAATCCTCTGTCATTCACAGCTGAGGGAAACGAATCAGGGATACAGCTGTTGGCTGAACTCGAGGAAAAAGGGTGACTCCTCCTGGTGGAAAATGTGCAGAGATTGAACAAATCCAGTTACAAATTCTGTTTCTACACAAGCTTATGGCTCCTGCTATGTGGGGCACAGGCCACATTTATTCAAGTACTCTTTCAAGTGTGTTTAAAGTTATTTAGGAAATTCTCGAGGTGAACTTTGATCATACTCAGAAAAACTCATGGAGGGAGATAAACAAGAAATATCTGCTGAGGGAGTTTGCCAGTTTTATGACTCGGACATCTTGATGGATACAAAGACACACATGACATGATGCATGATCCCCCCCTCCCCAAATGTTTATAATAACCCAAATACGAATTAAAGAAATCCCTAGGTCAAAATAAATTAGTCCTATACCAAGAAAATGTACATAACCCTGTGTGAGGAAAATGTTGAAGTCCCTTCCCTGTTTCCCGCTGTGTGTGTGTGTCACTGGAACAGCCTGCTGTATGTTTGGGTGCAGATTATAAACGTCCTTCTTCAAGTCAAAGCTCGGAATGAATGCAAATGTTGTGGCCGGACAGTAAATCCCACGCTAATGACGGCGATCAGCTGAAAAGCTCCGAGGCTGAGCTGAAAGCTTAAAGTTATGTGAAACTTATTATGTAATAAAGCAATAAATGCAAAACTCACTCTTCATTAGATTAGTTTTCATTTTCCTTTCAGCAGATTGCTTCACTCGTTCAGCTACTGCAGCGCTCCGGCTGAGGGCAGATTTTTGCAAAAATCTATGCAGGCAGTGGTGATTCTGGTGTTTGTTGAGGCCCCACACAAACATTCACAAGGGGCTCCTGCAGCCAGAGGTGCTGCTTGTCCTCTTTCTTTTTTCACTTCCAGACAGATAATTCCACCTTCTCTTCCTCCTCTTCCTCCTCCTCTTCCTCCTCCTCTTCCTCCTCCTCCTCCTCGTCCTCCTCTTCCTCCTCCTCCTCCTCCTCTTCCTCCTCCTCCTTCTCCTTCTCCTCCTTCTCCTTCTCCTCCTCCTCTTACTGCTCCTCCTCCTCCTTCTCCTCCTCCTTCTCCTTCTCCTCCTCCTCCTCCTTCTCCTCCTTCTTCTCCTACTCCTCTTACTGCTCCTCCTCCTCCTCCTTCTCCTTCTCCTCCTTCTCCTCCTTCTCCTTCTCCTCCTCCTCTTACTGCTCCTCCTCCTCCTTCTCCTCCTCCTCCTTCTCCTTCTCCTCCTTCTCCTTCTCCTCCTTCTCCTCCTTCTCCTTCTCCTCCTTCTCCTTCTCCTTCTCCTTCTCCTCCTCCTTCTCCTCCTCCTCTTCCTCTTCCTCCTCCTCTTCCTCCTCTTTAGCCTCCTCCTCGTCCTCCTCCTCTGTAACAGTCGAGTCAAACCAGCTGGTGTCGCTCTTCACTAACATTCTTTCTAATGCTTCACCTCGACCTGCTTTATTGTCGTTTGTTGAACGACCTTTACAACTGAGTCAAACTGTCCTTACACACAAAAAGCAGAAATGCTGCTCAGTCTTTTCTGAGTCATAAATGATTGAAAACAAGAATTTCAATACAACAGCAACTTAAAAGCTTAAAGAACAGCTGACTAGACGTTTTGAGTGAACCGATCAGTGAGAAACAGCCAACAGAAATAATATATGTTATAACCAATGTGTACTTTTACTGCAGGTCACACCTACACATTCACACCATGATGGCAGATGTTGCTATGTAGTGAGTCCATCAGAAGTAACTCATCCATTCATACACAGTCAACGAAGTAGTGAGAATAATGTGTCTTGCCCAAGGACACATCAGACATGTGGCTGCAGGAGCTGGGGATCAAACCCTCAACTTTCCAGTTGAGAGACGATGACTCTACCACTGATCCACAGCCACCTCACTTCTCACTCTGTCTTTAAACAGTGATCAACTTTTTTCAGTGATCTTCATTCTAAAAGTCTTAAATGTGAAAGTTATATACCTCTAACTACATTTCCTGTGCTGTCTATGTCCCCATGTTTACCTAAATCAGTAATCTACTGTCAAACCAGTTCATCAAAGTCTTTAACCATGTTATCTATGAGACCGATTTAAAGTTTATCTCATGTATCAGAGAAGGATCATTTCCCTGATTTCTAAAGCTACCTAAAAAGCAGGAATCTGTGAGAAAGCGGGCTCCATGATTTGATATTAAGGGACGTGTGAGTGATGTCATCAGTTCTTCTAAAGACCTCTTTGACCTCAAAGCCTTATCTCGACTTCCTCATTATAATCTCAAGTGAAACCTGATGTCATTGGATTTATGGAGGCTGCTTACATTCCTGGAGTAGCACCTGTTGTAGATCACACTTTAGGCCTCAGGCAGGCGATGGAAGAGATGCCTGTGATAAGTGAGAGAGGCGAATTAGAGTGTGTGTGTGTGTGTGTGTGTGTGTGTGTGTGTGTGTGTGTGTGTCAGAGACAGAAAGCAGCCCAGATTAAGTGCAAAAGGAAAGTCGGACTCGTTTTTCTGCATATCTCAGGAAGGTGGGACGTCCTCGTGCACACACAGCTAAGCTCAGAGCACGAACGGATGAGCACGAGGATTGTTTCTTTGGATTCTAAGTCTCTGGATTTAAACTCTCGATCTGCACCGAAGGTACTGTGATCCATCTACACTTTATGTGTTATCTTAATGCAAACAGAGTGTGTGTTTTGAGGGTGTGTATGTGTGTGTTTTTGACAGGTTCAGCCTGTTAATAAAAGAGAGGTGCTTTGTGTCAGTAATGTGTTACTAAAGGGAAACTTCTGAAACAGAATATTTGATTTTTAAACATTGCATGAAGATTTTTCTTTGCACAATCTGCATTTAATATGAATGCGTTAATGTTTTGATAAGTGAATGCAGTATTTTCTTCTTCGTTGGAAGACGAGGATCGACAGCAGAAAGGGCGGAAGGTAAAGAAACAGATGTTTGTCATGATCTCTTCTTTTTTTATTTTTAACAGGTTGAGTGTGTTTGGAGGAGTTTTGGAGGTTGTGTCAGCTGCATACCATGCACTCTGTGTCAGTGGTTTTTCTTGTCGTGTGTAGCTGCATGCGAGTGTGCAGACCGAATGTTCAGCATTCCTACAATGAGTCGGAGGAATGTTGCAATTTATCGAGCACTCATCCATCATTTTTAAGACCTTCAGATGAAATCAAGACGAGCTGTCGTCTTCATTAATTAACATCTTTCACACACTAAAGTTTCTAAATTTGAAACAGAAAAAGGTCACATGTGATCTTCTTATAGGAGCAATGTTTGATATGAATCATCGTTGATTTCACTCACAACAGATGTCTGCCAAACCTCCTCCGGTGGTCAGAAGAAATCCCTCAGGCGTCCGAGTCATGATGCCTCCAGGAGAGCAGCTTCCTTCAGGTGCACTGCCCGTCTACAGAGACACAGGCAAAGGTAGATCATCTGTCTGCTGTGTGAAAGTGTGAGCATGTGCTTAAAGTACTAGCTTGTTGCTTTTCTATAAATCTTAAGTTTTTCTCTCACTGTTTTGTTCTTCCTCCACTCAGAGAACAGTGACACTGCAGAGCCTGAACATACATCTCTACTGAATGCCGAGAGAGAAGTGGTATGTGATCTAAAAATTAGTTCAAGTATTCTTTTTTTGATGTGTGCAAACTGGGAGTTGAGCCTACAAATAGTAAGTCAAATGAGATGTCATCCTGTATGAAGAAGCTTAAAGACAGCATGTATGGAAAGCCCTCAGTGCATTTATCAGATTTCAAAAGTCAATTTCCTGCACTAGGAAAACATTTGACTTGTTAACTAGTAAGGTAAATAAACACTCATTATAGTAACAAGAGTACATTTATGCCCTTAGTTCACTTTAAAGATTCATAAAGTCTGATCCACTGTATCTGAGAATGCGAGGGAATACAGATTTTTTGGAGGGAAGTAGTAAGATTAATTTCCCATATAATTTCTAAACCCATTCCTCTGAGTCCCAAATTCTGCATCTTGGGCCTACAGCCTAAGTATTCATGTATTCAGTATTCACCCCCGAAACACGATCTTAAAATCGTGTTTCGGGGGTCAATGGTTCAAACTAACAGTCGGTGTGTTCATCAGGAGATTCTGAACCACTGCTTCGACGATGTGGAGCGATTCATGGCTCGTTTGCAGCAGGCGGCTGAGGCACAGACTGTTCTCAACCAACGGAGGAAGAAGGGAAGCAGGAAGAGCAAAAAGAAAAACGGACAAGCTGGTGAGAGCTGCTCTTCAATTCTGTCAACTAACCTCTGCGTCTCAGATAATAAAACAACCCTCAGGCATCAGTTTAATTTACTACCCTCTTAAGTCACTAAGGACAAAAATGTCCACTTCCAAAAAACTGCTATAAAAATAGAACAGATTGATATTTTTTCTACTTTTTTCTGCATAAATCTCTTAAACAACTTCAGCCCTGCTCAAAACTACCAAACATTCAATATTTTTTTAGGAATGTAACCCTTTAAATGCCAGTTTTATTACATGATTCTGGCATTTAAAGGGTTAAATTCCTAAAAACATTTGCCCAAATGGACAAAAATGGCCATAATGATGCATACGGGTTACACTGCCTGCTGAAACTCTGCTGCTGGCCTCAAATAGACGTAAAGTGGTCAGATGAAAAGTGTAAGATGGTTTTGGATGTGGATGTCCGGTAGATCAGCTGAAGGTCGAGGAGGAGAGATGCTTGATGGTGACAGAGATTGGTGGATGACGGATGCTCCTGGCAGGCTGGAGATGAAAAACAGTCGCAGGAACGTGGAGACTACTTACTACAGGAGCGTCGTTGTAAATGTTGGCAGGCAGGCTTCCAAAAGTGGCGTCGAGTAATTCAGAAGATTCTTAGGCCACTGTAACTTTTAGTTCATGCTTGAAAAGGGTCTTATAGTACACAATTTACTATGAGAGTTAAAAGTTCCTTCCACCAATGGCACCAAAAGTCAAGAATAATTTGCTAATTCTTCAAATATTCACCAATGGCGTCTGAAACGCTCACAGTTGCTCTCTAAGTTGACCTGAATTCAAACAAGCTTCCCTCACGCTGCCTTCATGTGTACCTTGGGAATATCAGATTTACTAGTGAAGAGCATGAAAGCACCTCCAATGTCGTACCGACGAGTGGGGAATTTGATGATACCAGAGCTGCCGCGTTGTGACATTTTAGGGCAACAAAAAAGGCTGAAAGCTTGGAGTGTGCGTGTCGTCATTATGATTGCATAACTGGGAAGTAAGATATATCTGATAAGCACCTGAAGGCAGCATATACACCTGGCATGCAGTCAAAACATTCATACCCTTATTAATTAGCAGTTAGCGCCTGTTAAAGTACAAATAAGATTTTAGAACATTTTTCTGTTGAACTGTGACATCAAGAAGGCTTTTTTTTGACACAGTGTTGTTTTAATCATGGATGGTTATTCCCTGATCTGCTGAGGCTTGAAAATATTTGTTTCTATCTTTGCCTTTGTTAGCATGACCAGGGTGTGTCTCGATCAATGGCTATGTGTGCAGAGACCAGGGGCATGTCCGGGGGGGCAAGGGTGGAATGGGCCCCCTTTAAAATCTGATTGGTTACCCCTGGTGCCAACCCCCAAAAATCCTAAACTGTGATTGGCCTTTTGACCTTTTGGAGGCAGGACTTGTGTTAAAACCGGCTATTCAGGCCGCACTTCTTTTTGTCGTTGCAACAAGCAGTTTTATTTAAACATCGTTGTGCAAATTTATTGCTTAAGACAAACTCTGTGAGACACACAACACACACACACAGGAGCAGTACTCGGATGAGTCAGTACCCGTTGACCCACCCCAGACAAAAAAAAGTCTGGACACACCCCTGACTGTGACAGGAGTGACCCAAAGTAAAACTAAAGGCATGAACGTATGAATGTGTTAATACTGAAATAGAAGAAAAGATCGTTATTAGTCACTTTCTCTGTTTTGTATTTCTTAGAAACATGCTAGAACAAGCACCCCACACCTCCACTTGAAGACTGTTTAACAGAACTCTTCTTGATCACTTCAATATCCTTTAATTCCTCTGTTCGGAAAGTGTTCCAACATGTTGTTAAAAGTTCTTAGTTTGACATTCTTGAAGACTTTTCAGACACACGTAACAAACAAAACAGATGAGGTCACGTTTGTAAACTGAATGTATAAAAGCAACATTAGTCGTTGTGTAGTTATGGATCTTGGTTCTGTCCTGTTGACTCGTTTGTGATGTAGCTTTGATGGTTCTCGTCTGTGTGCAGATGATCTGCTGACCTTGAAAGCTTGCCCTCCACCCGAGGAGGATTTTGTGGACATCTTTCAGAAAATCAAGTACTCCCTCAGTCTGCTGGTGAGATTACACTAGTCCTGATGAAACACTACATGACATCTGAAATGTATAAGAACATTTTAAATGTTGATGTGAATGCACTTATCTGGTTCATTCAGGACCGTCTCAAGTCCTCCATCACGCAGCCGGACGCACCAGAACTTCTGCACCACATCTTTGTGCCTCTGAGATTGGTGAGTGTTTGTGTTGAGTCATTATGTGCTCCTCAGTCTCTGTGTGATACTGACTCTGTACTACACAGCTGGTGAACACCACTGGAGGACCAGCGTTAGCAGCCACAGTGCTCAGCCCTGCCATGACGAGCGGCGCCGTCTCCACGCTCCAGGAGCATCTGACTGAAGAGGAGAGGGGGCTGTGGACTTCTTTCGGGCTCAACTGGACTTCCCCCTGGTCTGTGTGTTCATGCACAGAAGTGTAATTCTTGGTTTCAGAGTTTCTTGTGTTTCTCTGACAGATCCTTTCACCCTTTTTTACCAAGTTCGCACCTCGGTGTGTCTGTTCCTCCATACACACCTGTCTTCCTGGACGGGTGGCGGCCGCAGGCTTATGACTCAACAGGCCAGCTCCTGGAAGATCCCATCGAGTCTCAACACAAACAGGATGCTCACAGCGAACGAAGGGCGGCACAGACTCTGCAGGAACAAGCTCAACAGAATGTGGAGAGTCGTGGACAAAGCACTGATGATGGGTGAGTCTGCAGAGAAGGAAAAACAAAGACAAATCTCCCTTAAAAACAGATTAAATATCAAGGAGCTTCTTGGATAATTTACGGTTAAATTCAATTTAAAAAGTGTCACTGAAAAATGCACATTTGTGATTTTAGGGAAGGAATGACAACACAGGAGAAATTCTTAAAAGCGGCAATTAATGGTCGTTTAAATGAGTCATTACTGGTAAAGATTACTGGTCTCTGACTCGGATTTGTTTAATCGATTTCAGTTATCTAACATGCTGCACATGTTCTTCTTTGTCATTGCTTTTCCAGAGAAGATACCATGGTTCCACACGTAGGTGAAAGACTCTACTGCTGCAGTTACGACTTTGTGGCGAGAAACAGCAGTGAGCTCTCTGTGCTTCAAGGAGAGACACTCGAGGTACCTGAACACACCGACAGTGACCCGCCTGTAAAAGATGACATCATGCTTAGAAGGCCGCTCTGATTTGTGAGTCACCTCCTTTTTTTTGTCTTCTTCAGGTAATCGAGTCGTCAAAGCGATGGTGGAAATGTCAGAATCGTTTTGACCAGATTGGATTTGTTCCCTTTAACATCCTGGAGCCTCTGTCTGCTCTGAACAACACGGGGAGGGACAACCAGGTGGTCCGCAGAGAGTCCAAGGTGAACTACAGACACAGCACACACACATACAAGGTTTTGTCTTGGTCTCGCTTTTTTTTCATGCAGTCTTACAGTTCGTATACGTTCCTGCTCCTCCACAGAAGAGGCCCCTTTCCCATCCGACAAAGTTCTTCTCTTACGCTCCAGGGAGTCCGGATGGGAACGGTCCCATGAGCCCGCTGCGACCACAGAGCATGCTCTTACCATCGACAACACTGCAGGGAGAAGACGGCGACCGAGGTTAGAAATCAGTGATAGAGTATCATCACTGAAGAGCAGCTTGGTAGAAAAATCCATTTTTAATCTCAGCACTTCCACTCAACCTGCAACATGTCAGACATGAATAAATAACAAAGGTCAAAGTTTGAGGAAGATGCTGAATCAAGCCCAAAAATAAATATTTCCAGGTGTTTTTTTAACCAACATGTTAGTGCATCTGTGTATGAAGACCGCAGGGTTGCCAAATGTGTTTGTGTCAATGTCAGATTTCAGAAAATCAAATATTCACCTTAAATCTGGTGAGTAAAATCTGGTGGGTAAATCACCCTAAGATAGTGATTAAGGGAGGTAGGTGAGAAGGTAACAGGAAGCAGGCAGGGTCCAGGAAGAAGTTACCAAAACTTTAAAAAAAAAACCCACAGAAAACGATAATGACGCAGAGTACTGAGGATGAGCTGGAGACTAACTAAGGGAACAGTCCTGTCTGTACAGGATGAAGCTGATGAGGGAAGTGCAGACAGGTGAGAAGAAGAAGAAGAAGAATCAACTGGTGTGTAGATGGAGGCAAAGTCAGGTGGCACCTGGTGGAGACATAGAGAATTGCAGCAGATTTTAGGACGTGGGAAAAAGTGACAGGGGAAAAAGAAAGAAAACAGTGCTCACTTAAGTGCTGCTAAGTACGGAAGCCCTAAATGAACATGCATCAACACATTTCATTTAAATCAGGTTTTACGTGATGAAAACTTTATTTGAGATCTCCAGGAATTAACATGCATCATGAGAAAACCAGCGTTGTTATCCTGACATTACGAGGTTAAAAGTAGGTCGAGGTCTCAAGAAAACAAACAGAATTTACTCGTTATCTTGGAAGAACTGATTCAGGGCGCGCTCACACGAGGCCCAGTTGTCCCGTGCCGTGCTTAGGCATGATTGATTGTCAATGCAGCATGTGAAGTGAAGTGTCGTATTCTGTTTGCAGTCAATGTCGTGAACGATGAGCTCCTCCAGCGATTGGCTGGGAGAAAAGGCTCGACTCGTCCACCGGTGGCCCCCCGCACAGCTGACACCTCGACCCCCCTGAACTACCACTCACCTGCAGCGGAGGTGGAGGTGTGGCTTAACGCAAAGGGCTTCAGTCAGCAGTGAGTGTGCAGCTCCTGAAAACCCCGATTCAGAACAAGGGGGGGTCTTTAGTCTGCTTTTAAATCACTTGTGAGAAAGTTACTCACATCATGCTGTATTTCTATTTAACAAACTTTCATATTTTACTAAATGAAAGCATCCAGGAGAAAGTTAAACCAGGAAATCTTCTGCCTTCAGTGAGCTTTAGGACTGAAGAACAAGAAGAAAGGGAAATCAATCTCCTCAGTGATGGAGTTATACATGCAGCAGATGCAGCCTGCAGAGTCAGTGCTTGATTTCTTTAAGGCTCAGTAGCGCCCTCTATTGTCAAAATATCCTCCTTACAATTGTTTATGTATGACAGCTGAACTGAGAACTGATTTGAGTTACTGAAAACAGTGTGCTAAAGGGACATGAAGGCGAATAGTTCAAAAACTTAACCAACTTAAAGTTTAGATATCCGTTACTATGCTTTGCACAGCTGGATTATTCTGTTTGAAAATTAAAAAAATAAGTTGTTTTTTTGCTCCCACACTGAGTTTGTATCTCTTTCCTCCTCTCTCAGGACCGTTCAGAGTCTGGGCATCTTAACCGGAGCTCAGCTGTACTCCCTGAATAAGGAGGAGCTCCGCACGGTGGCACCGGAGGAAGGTGTTCGAGTTTACAGCCAGATCATGGTGCAGAAGGCCCTACTTGAGGTTTGTCCTGGCCTGTGTGTGTGTTTGTTGGCCTATGTATATGAGAGAGAGAGAGAGAGAGAGAGAGAGAGAGAGAGAGAGAGAGAGAGAGAGAGAGAGAGAGGATATGCTTTGGTTTTTGTGTTTACAGTCTGTTATTTGCTTGGCCTGTGACGCCCCTGCGTCATTTGTCACATTTACTGACCTACATTGACAAACGATTATTTACTTCTCAAAAAGCACGTTAGCTCCCGGAGCTACTTATAGATTTTATATGCGATTTTTCACATTTAAATGTAATAGAAATCAAATATATCCTCTGAAAATAACTCTGTGAGTCATGACTGTCTACAATGGGTGTAACACCCGAGTCCCACTGTCTGTGATGTTTTCAGAGTTTTCAGAGTCCTATCTTCAGTTTGTTTACATCGCCCGGACGGCCAGCTGACTCCTCCCCTCACGTATAAAAGTTGTTTAATTGAGGGACTAGAGAAAAGAAGAATAACATACTGTACTCACTGATTAACTGCGTTTCTGATTATCACGCTCATTTCAGGTAAATTTACATGCAGTGTGAAGATACGAGCATAATAAAGATGGCTAGCATTAGCATGCTAACACAACAATGCAGCGTGAGTTGTAATCGCCTTTAATGCAGAGATATGTTTGATTTTTAAATGACTCTGTGTTGTGCGTCCCTCCTCAGGATGTGCGTAAAGCCACAGAACTGGAGACGGTGATGGAGAAGCAAAAGATGAAGATTGCCCTGAAGTCGTGATCAGAGGGTGACGTTGCGGAGGAGCTCCCAAACAGCCACTGATGTAGACATCGACATCAAAGATCAGTGGAGATAGTTGAAGTATTTCATACACAGCTCATACTCCAGGGAGTGATGCTGCAGAGGGACTTTACTCTTCTCGATCTCCACCGTGCATCAGAAACATCACCAAAACGAGCCGTGTTCAAATCGAAGCTCGCTCATTTATAGTCTCTCACATTGTGAATTTATTTTTAGACATTGCGGCTTTTAAACTCACCAGTGTTCATAATATTGTTTTTGCAATAAAAATGAATGCAATCAACAAACGTAATCACCTCCTGCTGATTAGTTTGATGTGTTCAAAATGGACTGAAACAGCTTTTTAGCGATATTTAAAATATAAACAAATGTGCATTCTAATAAAAATGATAAAGACTCAACAGACCAGTCAGACTTTTTATTGAGTCAAGTTTGAATGCTTTTACATCAGCCTGTATTTAAACAGTATTGTTGTTGTTGTAGTTTTTTGCATCCAGATGAAGACAAAAAAACCATCAAACTTTCATGATTACACACTTTCATTACCGACTCTGTGAAGTTAAAGGCAGGGTTGGTAATTTTCTCCAGATCCACGTTTTAAGATTTTGGTTGAAATTGTCTTTAGGTCCTGACAGAAATTAATAACTCATGTTCTCTGAAACAGGAATGAAGAAAATCCGTCATCTGTAGCAGTTTGTAAGACTGTAAAAACTTCAACCAATATCTACCACGAGGTACCAATCTAATGAACCAATCACAGGCCTCCCTGTCTCCCTGCTCGTTCTCTAACCCTTGCGTGCACGAGCCCACACTCAAAGCGATGAGCTGAGGACCGCCCCCTCACATGTAAGTGAGGGGGTGGCTTTTGAGGGAGCACAGAGGGGAGGGGGTGGGTGCAGACGGAGCACTGAGGGAATGCTACTTTCAAAATCATGCTAGTTTTTTAAAATGACCAACCTTGCCTTTAAATTGATTTCTGACTGTATTTTTCATTGTTATAATATATCACAACGACAAACTAGTAATAAAGCATTTTGTGCGTTTTTATTTTTATTACTCTGAGATATTTGAGGACAATTCAAGATAAATATTCACTCTGTTTTAAAACAACACAACAAATAATTTGTTGACTAAATCAACATCAAGTAGCATATTAAATATCATTCTTTTACAGCTTTGCCTAAATATATTATATAATGGTGCGTTCCATTTAACTTGGATCTCGGAGCTGGGAATGGCGTCCCACCCGAATTAACCGTGTTCCAGTTGCGAGCTGGCAACAAGTCGGACAAGCAACATGGACCCTCCAGGAGTACGTTTGTTTTGTTATCTATATCAGGCAATAACAACTATACGGGATAGATTAAAAAGTATATAGTGACAGCTTAAACGTTACTGCTGATGCACGTAGCAGCCATGTTGGATTTTAACTTTCCAGGACAGAATATCAACTTCGGGGGGGGGGGGGGAATTTCCCACTTCCGAGATGAAAGTGAACGCACCATAAACATCAAGATCTCCAGAAACGGAGCTAAATAAAATGTGTGGATGTATGTTTTGTGTTTTGTGTAGTCTTTTTTCAATGTCTTGACTTTATTCTCTCTAAAATGAAAACTTCATCTTTGTTTTCTGGAGCTGTGTATGATCAGTTTTTACACTTTTTCAGATTGCATAATGACAATTAACTCACTTTCTCTTAATAATCAGGAAGACCTAAACTTGGTTTTCATGCGATGTAAAGTCACTTTAAACTGAATGACTGTTTGGTGTATCAAGAACACTGCACATCTGGATGACTGTTAAGTAGAACACCCCGTTGAATCATCCATTTAGGCTCCACAGGTGCAGACGTGGATAAATTTTTTTTTATAAATTACTGCACACATTTAATCCTGAGACTAAAGGTGAGCTGATCCTAACGTGGCTGTTCACTGAGACATTTTGAAGTGTAGGTTATCAGAAGTTTCAAATTGAGTAAAATAGACTCTCATTTATTTCCACATAAAATCTTTTTCTTTCTAGTATCGCACATTTTCTGAGGTAAAGATCTCGATGGGAACACTGACTTTGATTCGTCTTTTATCCATCACTATAGTGTCACATACAGAAACAGCGCTCTGAGCAGCGGGAGAAGAGGTAGAGTCACTGAGTCTCACTGCTGATCGTCTGTCAGCGACCTTCACAGCTCACAGGTGAAGCTCTGGTCGCAGCAGTCCCAGTTCACCAGCTCTTTCCCCGTAAACCACAGCTGGATCTCCCTCTGCGCCCCCTCCAGGGAATCACTGGCATGAACCACATTCCTGTAAATGATCAACACACCTCATTAGTTATCTCTAAATTCCCCCCAAAGAAATCACAGTAAATAGCTTTACAAGACGCTAAAGTGTCAGCCTCACAAGGTTTTTTCTTTAATCCTGAAACATGACACATAAAAGATCAAATAATGACCAGTTACCTGCTCACGTGAAAGCTGAAATCTCCTCTGACTGTGCCGGCCTGGGCCTCTGCAGGGTTAGTATGTCCCACCATGACACGGGACGCCTGCACCACTTTGTGCCCTTCCCACACCTACACAAGAAAGATTGAAAATGTCTCTGTTACTATGGGAATCCTGGCAGAGACAAGCTGTGATTGGACATACATAATTTATTTATTTTGTTTTTAGAAACCTAAGTTGTCTCTGATTTTTAAATCACTTTCTTAATATATGTAAAGGTTCATATTTATCGGACTGTTTGTCTTCATTAATGAAAAAGATGCCCTGTGCAAGTGATAGAGAAAATTGAGGATGCAACCCATCGTGATGCTTTGAGATGCATCGTGATATCGAATCATTGAGAGGACAATCGTGATCGAATCATGAAATCAGTGAAGATGCACAGCCCTACAAAACAGCAGCATAATAACAAACAACAATTACATCAATCAATAAAGTAGGAACATTCAGCAGTAAAACATGAGCATACACCATAGGGCATACAAAGGTCATAAGAGCCTTAATTCTAGTTTCTTCCTTTTTCTTAAAATCTTCTGCACTGAATCAACGCCCCAGTTTAAGTTTATTTTGTTACCCTGAAGCTCAGACCGAGATGAAGGAGCAAAAACATGAAAGCTCTTCTTCCAAAGTCAGATTGTGGAAGTCCATGAGACTGACGGCTGCAGCCTATGATAGATTTAGGTAATGAACATAAATAAGAAGGCAGATCGTGTAGTACGGCCTTATGATGTTTCATCCTTCAGTTGCATGAAGAAGACAAAACCAACTTGTGATCCAACAAAAGGACAAAACATGTAAAGTTTATGTAGATTTACAGGATTGGACCTTTAAAAAAAAACAAAACAGCGCACTCGGTTTATGTCTAACAATCATTCCTTAAACATACCTGTCAAACAAATGCAAAGATATAGAGCAGACAGGATGTCCAATACAGAGAATGCAGAAAATCCCTCACCATGGCAACCACGGGTCCTGATGACATGTATTCCAGGAGCCTGGGAAAGAAGGGTTTCGACCTCAGCTGGCAGTAGTGCTGGGTCAGGAGATCCTCCGGCACCTAAACAACAGAGACAGTTAAAATCAGAGAACAGACACATCACGCCGGCTTCATTTCACACGCCTCTCACCTTCAACATTTTCAGGCCAACCAGCTTGAATCCTCGCTGCTCAAACCGCTGGATGATTTGTCCAACGAGACGGCGATGAACTCCATCTGGTTTCACAGCTATGAGAGTCCGCTCCCTCACATCTGGAACACCTGATGGGATGAACAGTAAAGAACTCTTAGACTCACTCCTGTTGTTTTTGCTTCTCACAAAGTGCTCATGTTAGAGACATTAAAGTACAAATATTGACAAAAAGACTCAAACACACTGTTCTCCAGTTTGAGACTCAAACTCAAATGAACTTCCTCATCTGAGAGGAAGTATACATTTTCTTTGGGTTAGTTGGTTAGTTGTAGTTGCACACAGAATGGCAGCTTGGTCCCTCACTAGAAGATAATGAATGACAGCGTGCACACAATTACATGTGACCCACCACGAGAGGAACCCAATCTACTGGCATTTCATTTTCTAACTGTCTTGGATTGTAAAAAAAAAAAAAAAGCGACTCGGTAACAGGAAAGATGGAAGTTTCATTCTGTTTTGACTTTTGCGCACGTTTATATTTTGTTGTTGTTTTTTACGCACACCACAGCTCGCCGCTCCTGACACCCACATCACCTCCACTATCTTCTGTGGCTCTAACCTAGTTCTAGTTCATGACCCCGACAGTTTGGCAAACACATTTGTTTTCTCAAACAGCCCCGAAACGTTTGGAACAAATAAATGTTGCGCAGACGAATCAAAGTCTCATTTCTCTCCGTGCCAATAATCTTTCACAGGAACGTCTTTTTAAAAATCTAATTACTGAAATGTTTCTCAGCAACACATTAGATTATCAAGTCGATGTTTTGTTTTTTTTAAAAGAGATTCGCTTACTTTTACTCCTTCATGAAAAGGGAAAATCGTACAAGAAGTTCCTGAAAGACGAGAGAAGGTGCAAAAGTCAAACAGATAAAGTGACTTACTTGATTTGCTCCTGCGCCCTGAGCAGCAGCAGCAGCAGCAGCAGGGAAACCAGACAGCACACCTTTAGTGGTTTCCTGCTCCCTGAAACTAAACTGTTGTACAACTCTCCTAAAAATGCACCGCTGCATCGTGGTCTTGTTTCATGAGCCTCTGGAGAGACAATCAAACCTTTTCGATCTCTGCTCACGAGTCGTCCACACGTCTGTCTGTCCGTTTGTCCCGGTCACCTCCCTGAATGTCGCTCACACTGAACTTAACTCCACTGATGCCAGACGTGTCTGCGGTTTCTCTTCTTATCTACTCAAACATCGACATGTTTATTCCAACAACGACAGAAGTCTTCCACATGCACTCCTCAAAGATTGGGCTGTATAATTCGATTTTAAAGTCACAAAAAGTGGCTTCTCAGCACCTGAAGAAATACACTTTTTACTGACTTGCAGAAAACAGCTAACACATGACAAGGCCTGAAGAAGTTCTGTGAGATTGAAACATTGCTTTTACAGTTAAAGTTGATGAGAGCTTTTAGGGGTACTGTGCAGAACCATTGGTGATTCTTGCCTTCAGTTTGATTTTGGAACCGGCACCTGTGAAAGTTTTCCCTTCACCTTGTTTTGACTTCAGCAAAACACTTAACCCACTCTTCAGTTTCAAGAACACATCTTTTCATTAAGATCTTAGACACATCCAGAAGTTGAAGCCTATTATCTGGCAATAATGTCCATGACCCTATTCCTAATGTAATTAAGGTTTATCAACACACTGTTGGGCACATGAACTTCCCATCCATCGCTCTGTTG